TGGCCCCAGCCGCATCACTCGGTCCCTGGGTTCCCGTTCACAAGAGGCAGCGCAGCTTTCCCACACAAATGCCACGAACACCAGCACACACGAGGCTCCAAGGAGTCGGCAGCAGCGTGGCTCCTGCCCGGACCCCTGGCAGGGTCAGCCCCGTGAGCCCGTGTGGAGCTCGGTCCTCGGCACCGAGCCAAGGGGCTGGGCTCAGCCCACGTCCAGCCATGCTCCACCAGGAAACACCTGGCTGGGGCAGGATCCGCCCCGGCTCCTCTCTCTCCTCCCGGGCTGCTGCAGGGCTCATCCTCGTCCCCGAGAGCGGCTTCTGTCTGGGCCCTGGGGCTCGCTTGCCTCTGGATGGAGCAAAGACAGACTCAGGAAACCGGGCTCCTGCGCACGCCTCTGCCTCCAGCCCCAAGCTCTGCGCCTCCGCCCGACCCTGCCCCAGCGCACGTCGCCTCCCAGCTTTCCTCCCGGCCCTTCCTCGCTGCCACCACCTCCACCGCTGGAGACAGGCCCACGCCACAGCCCGGCTGAGCCCCGGCACGGCTCCCAGCACAGCGCAGACCGCACGAACCACCGGCCCCGTGTGAGGAAAGGGGCTGTTTCTCCCCAGCGAAACCTGCTCCGGTTCCTGCCCAGCTGCGCGGGTCCGGCCGAGAGGCCCCGTCCCACGGTGGTGGCTGAACTCTGAACCCCGAGATCCGCCAGCCCCGAGCAGGGCTGGGGTGCCGTTGTGTGGCCGTCTGCGGCGGAGCTTTATGGCTTCCTCTGGGAGAGCTGGGAAGGGCGACGGTGCCATCCCCTCGGCTGCGCACAGGGACAGGGACGGACCCGACGCCCTCTGGCTCCCTGCAGCCGGCCAGGAGGCAGCGATGGTCCAGCCTGGGGAGCAGCGGCTGGGTTTTGCTTCTCCCTGGAGGCAGGCAGAGAGCAGGGTCCCGAGTCCCTTCCCAAAGGGCTCCCAGGTTATTCCTCGGGCAGAAATCTCCCTCCTTCCCCCAAGCATGACCGTTGGCTTCAGGTCAGGGGTGGGGAGGGCAGGACCAGGAGAGCGCCCACTCCGAGGAGATCCCAGACCCGGAGGGGAGAGCAGCGACCTGCTGAGACAAACTACCGGAGCAGCCCGACGTGGAGATGCAAAACCTCCAGCCGCTCCAGAGCGTCAATGGCGGCGGGAGCAGAGGACAGACAAGCAGCCCCGACGGGACCAGCACAGCCTTCACAAGAACTGGAAGCTTTCAGCCAAACCTCCCTGGGCACCAGCGGCTCCCCGCCGCAAAAACGCCCCGCGGCAGCCAGGACCCCCCCCCAGCCGCTGCCAGTGCCAAGGCAAAGCAGGAGCCAAAGCAAGGCCAGCAGCACACTCCCCAGCGCCCATTATCTGCCGCAGAGCCAGGCCAACATCAGGGGGGCACCTTGCTTTGTCCCCACCCGCCCCGGGACTCTCCTAAACCTCTGGCCCCATGACCAGGCTCTGGATTTGAGGGAGCAGGACTGACCCGGTGAGAGCTGAGGCAGGGGTGCCAGAGCTGCAGGTCCCCCCGTAAACCCAGACCCACCTGGGGGAGCACGTTTGGGCATTTTAACTGCACATTTATTCCGTCCTGAAAGCTCAGGAGCCTCCTCCCGAAGAGCCGCAGTCGGCTGAGCGGCTGGAGGGGCTGCACCGGTGCTGCCCACGCAGCAGCCACATGCACCCTGGTTTTGCTGTCCGGCTGTGCCCGGTGCCTGCAGACAGGACTGTGGGGCGGACACTACTCCCACAGCTCGGTGGGGCGAGCCCCCACCCCGGGGCACTCACAGGGTTTCACTGAAAAGGAAGAGCCGTCGGCAGGTCCAGTGTGCGGAGCTGGCAGGAGGGGAGCCCCTGCACCCCTCCACAGGCTCCTCTGCCCTCGCCAGGAGGGTCCATCCGGAGCCTTGGCTGCCGGAGGAGCCTGGGGGAGAGCCAAGTGGAGAGAAAGGCAGTGTGTGGAGCCTGGGGACAGGAGCCACCATCCTGCCCGGCACCGTCCCCCACTTCAACCCCAGCCCTCAACACCTCCACCCTGGGAGACCCCGCACCCGGTCCCTGCAGCTCCTCCGCCCCCTCCCCAGGGCACATCGCGCCCCTCCATTCTGCCCTTTCCCTCGCTGCCTTTTGGCAAATCACGCACACATTTTCCTCCCCAAAGAGGCACTTTTCTGAAGGGACCAATGCACCGAGGCACTGCCCAAAGCCGCGGACCTGCCTTGGCGAGCTCTCGCACCACAAAGCCTTCGGCTCCTCCAGCAACATGGGGAGCTGCTCTGCTTCCCCAGCCCCGCAGGCGCTGTGCCCCGGCCTCTGAAACGTCCCCAGGCCCCCGCCAGTGCCTCCTGCACTGCTCTCAGCCCTGAGCCGGCCAGAGCCCACCCCACCCCAGGAAACCACCATCCCGTCCCTCGCCAGCGCGCCACGGCTCCACGGGGCTCCCCAGGTGGGAGGCAGGCAGCGGCGAGCGGGACCTGTTGAGCACCCAGCATCTCGCTAGCAGGCGGCCAGTTAATCGGTGCAAGGCGAGGTGCCTGCGAGGAGCGGAGGGTAGCTGACCCCGGGCTGGCTGGATGTCCCCAGTGCCAAACCCAGGAGATGCTGGGGGACCCTTGTTTGCCATGGTGGGGACCAGAGCCACGGGAGGGAGGGAAAGGCCTGGGTGAGACAGGGCCACCCCAGCCGACTGCTGTTGCTGGTGCTCGGCGCGTTGAGCAGCCAACCAGCCCTGTGGCCTCCCGGCACCAGCACGCTGCAGGCGGGAGCTGCTGGAGTCCCTGAGGGGCAAAACCAGTGCGCAGGCAGGATGGTCCCCAGCTCCCGGCCTCCCAATGGCCTCCACCTGCTCCCTCCTTCCCCCATCCGCCTGCAAAGCCCCACACCCGGCTCCGAGCCCGCCTGCAGGCACCGACTGACCGGGCAGGGCCCCACCGCGGCACACAAAGGATAAGGCCAGGGCCAGAGAGCGTCCGTCCGGTGACCGGGCGCGCGAGGGTCCCCCGTCGCAGCCGGGTCCCTCGGCAGAGGGCTGGGGGTGCGTGCGCAGGGAGGGGTCCGCGGCTCACAGCCACCCACTCACCCCAGCCGCACGCAGCAGCAACAACAGGTTCAAAACACAAAAATAAACGCCCTTCCCACTCCCCGCTTACCGCACCACTGCCAGCGGAGACTCGCCCCCCGCAGCCCCCACGCCCGCTCCGGGGCCTCCAGCGTTGCACCCCAAGCCGGTGCCGCGGCACCCCGCACCAGGGGCGGGACCACGGG